TGTCTGTTAGATCTGAGATCACTGTGAAAGCTGATTTTGTTGTCTGGACAACGCAGAAGTTTGTTGTTATTAAATCGTCGCCAAGGAAACCCAGAAGTTTGATGTTATTAAATCGTCGCCAAGGAAACCCAAAAGTTTGATGTTATTAAATCGTCGCCAAGGAAACACAGACGTTTGTTGTTATTAAATCGTCGCCAGGACAACCCAGACGTTTGATGTTATTAAATCGTCGCCAAGACAACGCAGAAGTTTGTTGTTATTAAATCGTCGCCAAGACAACGCAGAAGTTTCTTGTTATTAAATCGTCGCCAAGACAACCCAGACGTTTGATGTTATCAAATCGTCTCCAGGACAGCGCAGAAGTTTGTTGTTATTAAATCGTCGCCAAGACAACCCAGACGTTTGGTGTTATTAAATCGTCGCCAAGACAACCCAAAAGTTTGATGTTATTAAATAACTTAAACACCTGTAGAGTTGAACGTTTCACAGATGGTCATGATACACATCGACCAACGTAATCAGATCAGCTTAATTGTAGACTTGGACATTATTTGTACTTTCATCAGTTTGGTGGAGAATCCGCTCCATTAAGGGCCGGGCGTGGCCTAAAGGTAGCTTACCTGGACCTTGAATCTGAGGGTTCGTGGTCCATTGCCATAAAACGCGTTCTACATTTTGGGGCCGTGGATGCGCTATGAGAGTGACAGTCAAATCTCACTATTCGATCAAACAAAAGTAGTCCAACAGTTGATGTATGATACTGTTGACTAGCTGCTTTCTCTCTGATACTGTTGACTAGCTGCCTTCTCTCTCTCTTGTTGATAATTAAAGAAAATGACAATAAGTAATATAGTGAAACTTAGTTGAAAAACAAAAAGTTGAAGAGTTTCGAAACGTCGTCCTCTGTAATTGTGTTTCTACAACAGGCGAAACGTCGTCTTCTGTAATTGTGTTTCTACAACAGGCGAAACGTCGTCTTCAGTAACTGTTTCTACAACAGGCGAAAAGTCGTCTTCAATAATTGTGTTTCTACAACAGGTGAAACGTCGTCTTCAATAATTGTGTTTCTACAACAGGTGAAACGTCGTCTTCAATAATTGTGTTTCTACAACAGATGACACGTCGTCTTCAATAATTGTGTTTCTACAACAGGTGAAACAAATAGTTTATCTGTCATAACCCAGCCGGCCTGAAGAGCCCTGGTATTTGACGAAAGGCCTCATCGGCAGTGAGTATAGTAGATATAGTGTAGTTGACATATTATTATACACACATTTTATTTCTAAAGTTCTTATTAATAATCAGCCGCTGTTCAGATAATTGTTTCCACATTTTAAAATCACGTGTATATACGTGTACAAGCGTCAGTCAAGTCGGAAGTGACGTCTATCTGCGCTGCTGTTGTAAAGAGGAGTGATATCCTGCTGGAACTCACCGGCTGTTTTTCGAATTCCAATTATAATCACCTTTTCTTTTCGTGGAAGGTGTTACCAAGTTCTGTTTGTTTGGGGGGGGGGCGGTTCAATTTGAGTAGTATACAAAATAGCGTTAACTAGGAGAAATTAAACTATGAGGCCAAGTCTGGCAATTGAAGGGGGGGATTTCGCTACTGATTGTGGTTCCCACCCGCTTCCCATTGATTCACGTGTGGTTATGTAGGAGTTTTAGTACTATAATTATATTGTTGTTTCCTACCCGCTTCCCATTGATTCACGTGTGGTTATGTAGGAGTTTTAGTACTATAATTATATTGTTGTTTCCTACCCGCTTCCCATTGATTCACGTGTGGTTATGTAGGAGTTTTAGTTCTATAATTATAGATAGAGCATTAGATACCCCATGGAATATTTGTGCTCTGCCCACTGCGGGGATCGAAACCCGATTTTTAATGTTATATTCCTCATGTCTTGCCGTTGAGCTACCGGAGGACGCCAAGTGAATGACCAATTGACAGTGGTCCAGTTCTGAAAACATGAACTTGGTCGTTAAAGGCTCCAGATGAATGACCAATTGACAGTGGTCCAGTTCTGAAAACATGAACTTGGTTGTTAAAGGCTCCAGATGAATGACCAATTGACAGTGATCCAGCTCTGAAAACATGAACTTGGTCGTTAAGGGCTCCAGATGAATGACCAATTGACAGTGGTCCAGCTCTGAAAACATGAACTTGGTCGTTAAAGGCTCCAGATGAATGACCAATTGACAGTGGTCCAGTTCTGAAAACATGAACTTGGTCGTTAAAGGCTCCAGATGAATGACTAATTGACAGTGATCCAGCTCTGAAAACATGAACTTGGTCGTTAAAGGCTCCAGATGAATGATCAATTGACAGTGATCCAGCTCTGAAAACTTGAACTTGGTCGTTAAAGGCTCCAGATGAATGACTAATTGACAGTGATCCAGCTCTGAAAACATGAACTTGGTCGTTAAGGCTCCAGATGAATGAACAGTTGACAGTGGTCCAGTTCTGAAAACATGAACTTGGTCGTTAAGGGCTCCAGATGAATGACCAATTGACAGTGGTCCAGCTCTGAAAACATGAACTTGGTCGTTAAAGGCTCCAGATGAATGACCAACTGACAGTGGTCCAGTTCTGAAAACATGAACTTGGTCGTTAAAGGCTCCAGATGAATGACCAACTGACAGTGGTCCAGTTCTGAAAACATGAACTTGGTCGTTAAGGGCTCCAGATGAATGACCAATTGACAGTGGGCCAGCTCTGAAAACACGAACTTGGTCGTTAAAGGCTCCAGATGAATGACCAACTGACAGTGGTCCAGTTCTGAAAACATGAACTTGGTCGTTAAGGGCTCCAGATGAATGACCAATTGACAGTGATCCAGCTCTGAAAACATGAACTTGGTCGTTAAGGGCTCCAGATGAGTGACTAATTGACAGTGGTCCAGCTCTGAAAACATGAACTTGGTCGTTATCGAGGGTGTTAAAGATGGAGTAAAAATGTCCGTTTTTAAACCTCTGTGTGCTTAAACACAAAACTTGAATAATAAGTAAGTGGCGTAAACCTATTAACTCTGTGTGCTTACACACAAAACTTGAATAATAAGTAAGTTGCGTAAACCTATTAACTCTGTGTGCGCTATGAACCTTACAGAGAGAGAGTTGTTACGCTGAGTTGAAAGTGATTTTCTGACTTCATTGAAATGAATAATAACAAACTAAACACAGTGTGAAACAAAGTGAAAGTAACCTTTGTTTTACTTGCAATACAACTCAAAGGCGACCGATAGTACTGCTCTAAAAATGTCGAGAATTATTGCCAGTAATAATTCTATATGAATGCTGAGAGAAAAACCGCAGTAATCTTTCAAAGGGTGCAGGCGCTAACCACGTTACTGGTCGTCTCACAAGTACTCTTCCGTCCGAGAGACTTCAACAGTATCAAAGGAGATTAACCTATGACGATAAGTAAGAAATGTACGAGGAAGTTATTAACATTGCGTAACCAATTCTCTGGTGTTAAGCCTCTATGCTAGCATGCACGTTCATAAGTATGAAAAATTTTGAACATTTTAGGTGGACAGTTGTTTTTCATCTGTTTAAACTGAAAGGAAAACAAACACCTTGTACGTTTCATATACCACAAAGCGAATTTTAATATATACTGTTAGAATATTAAAATACCCAAATTTCTTGTACGAAGAAAAATTTATATTCATAAGGTGTATTGTTATATTAATGTCACTTATAGTTGAAATGATTTCAGTTTGTATCTTTATATTTTTGTGCATGTATTCACAGAGCAAGATAAGAACAAGAAAACAACAAACTAAAGCTTACTAAATTACTATTGGCTAGTCTATGTTAGTTTTAGTTTTCTACCAGTGTATTGTCTAACAAAGATGTTTATGTTATGATTTGATTGTGAATTAGTGGACACTGGGCAATAAAATATACTGATCATTTTAGGCTTAGCTATTACTTTCTTTACACGTAATCGGGGTACTTTGCCTTTCAAGTTTGGTGGAATTTGATTGGTTCAGAATTATCAGGTGAGTTCATATGTTTGGTGTAATTTGATTGGTTCAGAATTATCAGGTGAGTTCATGGTTTCTTTACCTTCTTGTTACCCGTACCAAC